GACACATAACATGGTGGGCTGGTAGACACATAACATGGTGGGCTGGTAGACACATAACATGGTGGGCTGGTAGACACATAACATGGTGGGCTGGTAGACACAAACATGGTGGGCTGGTAGACACAACATGGTGGGCTGGTAGACACATAACATGGTGGGCTGGTAGACACATAACATGGTGGGCTGGTAGACACAACATGGTTTACTGGTAGACACAACATGGTGGACTGGTAGACACAACATGGTGGGCTGGTAGACACACAACACGGTGAGCTGGTAGACACATAACACGGTGAGCTGGTAGACACACAACACGGTGAGCTGGCAGACACATAACATGGTGGACTGGTAGACACATAACATGGTGGGCTGGTACACACATAACACGGTGAGCTGGTAGACACATAACATGGTGGGCTGGTAGACACATAACATGGTGGGCTGGTAGACACAACATGGTTTACTGGTAGACACAACATGGTGGACTGGTAGACGCAACATGGTGAACTTGTAGACACATGGTGGGCTGGTAGACACAACATAGTGGGCTGGTAGACACAACATGGTTTATTGGTAGACACAACATGGTGAGCTGGTAGACACAACATGTTGGGCTGGTAGACACAACATGGTGGACTGGTAGACACAACATGGTGGGCTGGTAGAAACAACATGGTTGGCTGGTAGACACAACATGGTGGGCTGGTAGACAGAATATGGTGGGCTGGTAGACACAACATGGTGAGCTGGTAGACACAACATGGGCTGGTAGACACAACATGGTGGGCTGGTAGACACAACATGGTGGGCTCGTAGACACAACATGGGCTGGTAGACACAACATGGTGAGCTGGTAGACAAAACATGGGCTGGTAGACACAACATGGTGGGTTGGTAGACACAATATGGTGGGCTCGTAGACACATGGTGGACTGGTAGACACAACATGGTGGGCTGGTAGACACAACATGGTGGGATAGTAGGCACAACATGGTGGGCTGGTAGACACAACATGGTGGGCTGGTAGACACAACATGGTGGGCTGGTAGACACACATGGTGGGCTGGTAGACACAACATGGTGGACTGGTAGACACAACATGGTGGGCTGGTAGACACACAACATGGTGGGCTGGTAGACACGTAACATGGTGGGCTGGTAGACACAACATGGTGGTCTGGTAGATACAACATGGTGGGCTGGTAGACACATAACACGGTGGGCTGGTAGACACAACATGGTGGACTGGTAGACACAACATGGTGGGCTGGTAGACACAACATGGTGGACTGGTAGACACACCATGGTGGAGTGGTAGACACAACATGGTGGGCTGGTAGACACAACATGGTGGGCTGGTAGACACAACATGGTGGGCTGGTAGACACAACATGGTGGGCTGGTGGACACATGACATGGTTGGCTGGTAGACACAACATGGTGGGCTGGTAGACACAACATGGTGGGCTGGTAGACACGACATGGTGGACTGGTAGACACAACATGGTGGAGCTGGTCAGACACAACATGGAGGGCTGGTAGACACAACATGGTGGACTGGTAGACACAACATGGTGGACTGGTAGACACAACATGGTTGGCTGGTAGACACAACATGGTGGGCTGGTAGACATAACATGGTGGGCTGGTAGACACAACATGGTGGGCTGGTAGACACAACATGGTGGCTGGTAGACACAACATGATGGGCTGGTAGACACAACATGGTGGACTGTAGACACAACATGTGGCTGGTAGACACAACATGGTGGGCTGGTAGACAACAACATGGTGGGCTGGTAGACACAACATGGTGGGCTGGTAGACACAACATGGTGGGCTGGTAGACACAACATGGTGGACTGGTAGACACAACATGGTGGACTGGTAGACACAACATGGTGGACTGGTAGACACAACATGGTGGGCTGTTAGACTACAACATGGTGGGCTGGTAGACACAACATGGTGGGTGGTAGACACACATGGTGGGCTGGTAGACACAACATGGTGGGCTGGTAGACACAACATGGTGGGCTGGTAGATACAAACATGGTGGGCTGGTAGACACATACATGGTGGGCTGGTAGACACAACATGGTGGTCTGGTAGACACAACATGGTGGACTGGTAGACACAACATGGTGGGCTGGTAGACACAACATGGTGGGGAGACAACTGGTGGGCTGAGACACAACATGGTGGGCTGGTAGACACAACATGGTGGACTGGTAGACACAACATGGTGGGCTGGTAGACACAACATGGTGGGCTGGTAGACAACAACATGGTGGGCTGGTAGACACAACATGGTGGGCTGGTAGAACACAACATGGTGGGCTGTGACAAGGTGGGGGTAGCACATACATGGTGGCTGGTAGACACAACATGGTGGGCTGGTAGACACAACATGGTGGGCTGGTAGACACAACATGGTGGACTGGTAGACACAACATGGTTGGCTGGTAGACACAACATGGTGGACTGGTAGACACAACATGGTGGGCTGGTAGACACAACATGGTGGCTGGTAGACACAACATGGTGGGCTGGTAGACACAACATGGTGGGCTGGTAGACACAACATGGTGGGCTGGTAGACACAACATGGTGGGCTGGTAGACACAACATGGTGGGCTGGTAGACACAACATGGTGGGCTGGTAGACACAACATGGTGGACTGGTAGACACAACATGGTGGACTGGTAGACACAACATGGTGGACTGGTAGACACAACATGGTGGGCTGGTAGACACAACATGGTGGGCTGGTAGACACAACATGGTGGGCTGGTAGACACAACATGGTGGGCTGGTAGACACAACATGGTGGACTGGTAGACACAACATGGTGGGCTGGTAGACACAACATGGTGGGCTGTAGATACACCATGGTGGGCTGGTAGACACAACATGGTGGGCTGGTAGACACAACATGGTGGGCTGGTAGACACAACATGGTGGGCTGGTAGACACAACATGGTGGGCTGGTAGACACAACATGGGGACTGGTAGACACAAACATGGTGGACTGGTAGACACAACATGGTGGCTGGTAGACACAACATGGTGGACTGGTAGACACAACATGGTGGACTGGTAGAGACTTGTGACGTAAGATTGTAATCTTTAACTCATTTAACATGTTAATTAAACCTCCTCTTATCTATTTAACAAAATAATAAATTATATTCTTTGTGTCACGTTATTTTCCTTCAGAAAATACCTTTATAATATTAAGTGACATAATTACAAAATAAAATATGCAAACTCTAGATAAATAAGAAATATTTATTGGGCACTAAAACATTTAATGTTTATTAATGTCTTAGCAATGTTCAATGTTAATTCTTGACAAAGAATTTTGGGTACTAAACGTCATCTTTGACCTTTCGTCTCCAAATTATGAATCAACTGATTTTTTTATGGCCATAAATGTTGGGTTAAACTTGCGTTCTCTTCTGAATGAGCGAACTGGGAGTAACAGGAATGAGGCTTCCACTGAGCGAAACGTTTTCTTAATATTAATATCCTAGCGTTTTGTTTTAATTACTTAGTGAAGGAATTTTAGTCAAGACGTTTAGGTCTTGCTGTGTCAATACAAAGGTGCGAGACGTTTAGGTCTGCCTGTGTTATTATAAAGCTGTGGACGTTTAGGTCTGCTTGTGTCATTATAAAGCTGTGAGACGTTTAGGTCTGCCTGTGTTATTATAAAGCTGTGGACGTTTAGGTCTGCTTGTGTCATTATAAAGCTGTGAGACGTTTAGGTCTGCCTGTGTTACTATAAAGCTGTGGACGTTTAGGTCTGCTTGTGTCATTATAAAGCTGTGAGACGTTTAGGTCTGCCTGTGTCATTATAAAGCTGTGAGACGTTTAGGTGTGTCTGTGTCATTATAAAGCTGTGAGACGTTTAGGTGTGTCTGTGTCATTATAAAGCTGTGAGACGTTTAGGTGTGTCTGTGTCATTATAAAGCTGTGAGACGTTTAGGTCTGTCTGTGTCATTATAAAGCTGTGAGACGTTTAGGTCTGCCTGTGTCATTATAAAGCTGTGAGACGTTTAGGTCAGCTTGTGTCATTATAAAGCTGGGAGACGTTTAGGTCGGTCTTTGTCATTATAAAGCTGGAGACGTTTAGGTTGCTGTGTCATTATAAAGCTGAGACGTTTAGGTCTGCCTGTGTCATTATAAAGCTGCGAGACGTTTAGGTCTGCCTGTGTCATTATAAAGCTGCGAGATAGCAACTTCATAATGTTGTCTATTATGGTTATAATATTGGAACTTATTTTCCCTGGTCATGTTTGTAAAAACGAGTGTGGTAACGATGAGGAAAAATTTTTAGGTTTGGAAAATAAACTACAAGCTGGAGCAATCGTTTAGTAGGTATTCTCTGGTTATGCATTTAGTACAGCTGAAGTAGATGCAGTTGAGCCGAAAGCCTGAGGCACATAATAGTAAATCGATCCCAGGGTACTGAATCTTGCTCAGGATATACACTCCTCCCAGAGTTTATGAACTGTGGCCTGGCTCATCCGGTATAATAGGTTCTAGTTGGAGACCATCAGCTGCGACACACATGTGTACTTAGTGTAGGTCGTGATATATATCCTTCTGCAACTATTTTGCTCACTACGGAATATAGTGTAGTTTATAAACACATGATTATAAACAGTCTGAAATACAGTCCACTCAGTTATTTTAATATTATTGGGGTACACATGGACTTGTGGGACACTCATCCTAGAGAAAAGAATAAAACTTCGTAGGGAAAATCAAGTTCTCCTGTAAGTGTTTGAATATTCTTCTGTTCAGCCTGTATGTATATTTATGTAAACTTATTTAAGTACAATACATTGAGCCAAAAATACAAAAGGAGTGAACACATAGATACATCTCAGACTAATCTGAACACTCGTCCAGTCCCCGCGGTGAGCCGCTGAAGTTTGCCAGGCATTTGTCCACTTCGCAACATGGTTATGAACTGTGGAGCTGGGACCATCCGGTATACATTAGGTTCTAGCTCTGTGAGGACCATCAGCTGCTGCACGACCATGGCTGAACTTTGTGTACGGCTCCGTGACTATATCATCCTTTCATGCCAACCATCTTTGCTACGGACATACGGAAAATATAGTGTAAGTTTATTAAACACATTGATTAACCAGCCTGAAAATACATGCCACTCAGTTAGGTTTTAAGTATATATATAGGGAGGTACCACCTCTGGACCTGTGCTGGGGACACTCATCCTCAGAGAAAAGAATAAACTTACTTCAGGAAAAACTCAAGGTTCTCCCCCTGAAGCTGTTTGAATATTGTCTTCTCCTACCACGCCCTATATTGTATATTATATGTAAACTTTATTTAAAGACAAAATACATTGACAAAAATACAATAAGGAGTAGAACAACATAGATAACATCTCAGAGCTACATCTCGAATACTTCGTCCAGCTCCCCGGCGGTGAGCCGCGTGCCCAGAATGTTGCAAGCATTTGTCCTCTGGATCGCAACACTGAGTCTCTGAAAGAGGAAGCTGGCCGCCCTGTGATCCTTGGTTTCTGTGATGAGTTTTTCACCCAGCTCTTTGAGGAACATTAGAGCACACATGCTTCATGCTCCAAGGGTCTCAGACCCTACTGGGATGAAGTTATAGCAAAGGGGGAAGATCTTCATATCTGCGGGTCTTCTGGGTCTCCCTGTAGCTGGAGGCTCCACCCCCTTCAGCTTCAATGTATGGCACGTAAGTGTCTGCCAATGTGGCGGCACAGGTGTAGTCCCAGGCAATCTGCTTTCCATCCTTCCAGGGTAGCATAGTGGCTCCATCAGTACGCTTTTGACTTCCGCCAGACCTCTGCACTTGGGTTTCCCGTTGAGCTGGGCAACGGGCTGTGGCGAGGCTTCTCTTTATGATGTCATTGACCTCCTCATGTCTGGCATACTTCCCTTCTGCTGTGTGACACACGAGACCATGAAGTCTGAATTCATCAGCTGTCGCCCTGCCGCAAATACACCTATGTTCGGTGAGGATGGGGCGCCTAGGTGATTGACATATATATATATATATATATATATATATATATATATATATATATATATATATATATATATATATATATATATATATATATATATATATATATATATATATAGAGTATATATGTCGTGCCGAATATGTAAAACTGGTCAATTAGCAAGAACTCATTTAAAATTAAGTCCTTTCTAAAATTTGTTCTTATACATTTAAAGATATATTTTTTCATTAATGATAATGTAAAAATTTATAATTTTGCACCAAAAGAATCTTAGAAAACTTACCTAACCTTATTATAACAAGAACAATTTATTTTAGCCTAACCCAACTAAATATATTTTAGATACTTTACAATAATTTAATACTAAACAAATGCAGTGAAATATATTTTTTTCGTTAGGTTCAGAATGATTTTGGCGAAATTATTGCATACACAAATTTTTACTCGTGTTATATGGCAAGATGAACGTTGCTATTTAAGCCAAAATCGCAAGTTCTGCCTATTCGGCACGACTATATATATATATATATATATTATATATTATATATATATATATATATATATATATATATATATATATATATTATATATATATATATATATATATATATATATATATGGCAGGGTGGCCCGAAAAATGAAAAACTTTCATCATCATTCACTCCATCACTGTCTTGCCAGAAGGGTGCTTTACACTACAGTTTTTAAACTGCAACATTAACATCCCTCCTTCAGAGTGCAGACACTGTACTTCCCATTTCCAGGACTCAAGTCCGGCCTGCCGGTTTCCCTGAATCCCTTCATAAATGTTACTTTGCTCACACTCCAACAGCACGTCAAGTATTAAAAACCATTTGTCTCCATTCACTCCATTCAAATACGCTCATGCACGCTTGCTGGAAGTCCAAGCCCCTCGCACACAAAACCTTCTTTACTCCCTCCCTCCAGCCCTTCCTAGGCCGACCCCTACCCCGCCTTCCCTCCACTACAGATTTATACACTCTTGAAGCCATTGTGTTTTGTTCCATTCTCTCTACATGTCTGAACCACATCAACAACCCCTCTTCAACCCTCTGGATAATAGTTTTGGTAATCCCACACCTCCTAATTTCCGAACTACGAATTCTCTGCATTATATTCACACCACACATTGCCCTCAGACATGACATCTCCACTGCCTCCAGCCTTCTCCTCGTTGCAACATTCATCACCCATGTTCCACACCCATACAAGAGTGTTGGTACAACTAAACACTCATACATTCCCCTTCTTGCTTCCACAGACAAAGTTCTTTGTCTCCACAGACTCCTAAGTGCACCACTCACCCTTTTCCCCTCATCAATTCTATGCTTCGACTCATCCCTGGTAGACTCATCTGCTGACACGTCCACTCCCAAATATCTGAATACATTCACCTCCTCCATACTCTCTCCCTCCAATCTGATATCCAGTCTTTCTTCACCTAATCTTTTTGTTATCCTCATAACCTTACTCTTTCCTAAATTCACTTTTAATTTTCATCTTTTACATACCCTATCAAATTCATCCACCAACCTCTGCAACTTTTCTTCAGAATCTCCCAAAAGCACAGTGTCATCAGCAAAGAGCAACTGTGACAACTCCCACTATATATATATATATATATATATATATATATATATATATATATATATATATATATATATATATATATATTTTATAAATATATATATATATATATATATATATATTAAAATATATATTATATTAAATATATATATATATATTTAATATATATATATATAATTATATATATATATAAATATATATTATAATATATAATGTCGTGCCGAATATGTAAAACTGGTCAGTTAGCAAGAACTCATTTAAAATTAAGTCCTTTTTAAAAATTTATCTTATACGTTTAAAGATATATTTTTTCATTAATGTTAATGCAATTTTTTTTTAATTTTGCACCAAAAGAATCTTAGAAAACTTACCTAACATTATTATAACAAGAACAATTTATTTTAGCCTAATCCTACTAAATATATTTTAAATACGTTTACAATAATTTAATACTAACCAAACACAATGAAATATATTTTTTTCGTTAGGTCCAGAATGATTTTTGCGAAATTATTGCATACACAAATTTTCGCTTGTCCTATATGGCAAGATGAGCGTTGCTATTTAAGCCAATATGGCAAGTTCTGCCTATTCGGCACGACTTTATATATTTAAATATATATATATATATATATATATTATATATATATATATATATATATATTATATATATATACATATAAATATATATATATATTATATATATATATATATATATATATAATATATATATATATATATATATAAATGTATATATATAGGTTGGTAGACAGCAACCACCCAGGGAAGTACTACCGTACTGCCGGATGACTGTGAAACAGAAACCTGTAACTGTTTTGCATGATGGTAGGATTGCTGGTGTCTTTTTCTGTCTCATAAACACGCTAGATAACAGGGATATCTTACTACTCCTACTTACACTTTGGTCACACTTCACAGACACGCACATGCATATATATATACATACATCAAGGTTTTTCTCCTTTTTCTAAATAGCTCTTGTTCTTCTTTATTTCTTCTATTGTCCATGGGGAAGTGGAAAAGAATCTTTCCTCCGTAAGCCATGCGTGTCGTATGAGACGACTAAAATGCCGGGAGCAATGGGCTAGTAACCTCTTCTCCTGTAGACATTTACTAAAAAAGAGAAGAAGAAAAACTTTATAAAACTGGGATGCTTGAATGTGCGTGGATGTAGTGCGGATGACAAGAAACAGATGATTGTTGATGTTATTAATGAAAAGAAGTTAGATGTCCTGGCCCTAAGCGAAACAAAGCTGAAGGGAGTAGGGAAGCTTTGGTGGGGGGAAATAAATAGGATTAAATCTGGAGTATCTGAGCGAGTTAGAGCTAAGGAAGGGGTAGCAATAATGTTGAAGGATCAGTTATGGAAGGAGAAAAGAGAATATGAATGTGTAAATTCAAGGATTATGTGGATTAAAGTAAAGGTTGGATGCAAAAAGGGGGTCATAACAAACGTGTATGCACCTGGAAAAGAGAGGAATGTAGAGGAGAGAGAGAGATTTTGGGAGATGTTAAGTGAATGTATAGGAGCCTTTGAACCAAGTGAGAGAGTAATTGTGGTAGGGGACCTGAATGCTAAAGTAGGAGAAACTTTTAGAGAGGGTGTGGTAGGTAAGTATGGGGTGCCAGGTGTAAATGATAATGGGAGCCCTTTGATTGAACTTTGTATAGAAAGGGGTTTAGTTATAGGTAATACATATTTTAAGAAAAAGAGGATGAATAAGTATACAATATATGATGTAGGGCGAAATGACAGTAGTTTGTTGGATTATGTATTGGTAGATAAAAGACTGTTGAGTAGACTTCAGGATGTACATGTTTATAGAGGGGCCACAGATATATCAGATCACTTTTTAGTTGTAGCTACACTGAGAGTAAAAGGTAGATGGGATACAAGGAGAATAGAAGCATCAGGGAAGAGAGAGGTGAAGGTTTATAAACTAAAAGAGGAGGCAGTTAGGGTAAGATATAAACAGCTATTGGAGGATAGATGGGCTAATGAGAGCATAGGCAATGGGGTCGAAGAGGTATGGGATAGGTTTAAAAATGTAGTGTTAGAGTGTTCAGCAGAAGTTTGTGGTTGCAGGAAAGTGGGTGCGGGAGGGAAAAGGAGCGATTGGTGGAATGATGATGTAAAGAGAGTAGTAAGGGAGAAAAAGTTAGCATATGAGAAGTTTTTACAACGCAGAAGTGATGCAAGGAGGGAAGAGTATATGGAGAAAAAGAGAGAGGTTAAGAGAGTGGTGAAGCAATGTAAAAAGAGAGCAAATGAGAGAGTGGGTGAGATGTTATCAACAAATTTTGTTGAAAATAAGAAAAAGTTTTGGAGTGAGATTAACAAGTTAAGGAAGCCTAGAGAACAAATGGATTTGTAAGTTAAAAATAGGAGAGGAGAGTTATTAAATGGAGAGTTAGAGGTATTGGGAAGATGGTGGGAATATTTTGAGGAATTGTTAAATGTTGATGAAGATAGGGAAGCTGTGATTTCGTGTATAGGGCAAGGAGGAATAACATCTTGTAGAGTGAGGAAGAGCCAGTTGTGAGTGTGGGGGAAGTTCGTGAGGCAGTAGGTAAAATGAAAGGGGGTAAGGCAGCCGGGATTGATGGGATGAAGACAGAAATGTTAAAAGCAGGTGGGGATATAGTTTTGGAGTGGTTGGTGCAATTATTTAATAAATGTATGGAAGAGGGTAAGGTACCTAGGGATTGGCAGAGAGCATGCATAGCTCCTTTGTATAAAGGCAAAGGGGACAAAAGAGAGTGCAAAAATTATAGGGGGATAAGTCTGTTGAGTATACCTGGTAAAGTATATGGTAGAGTTATTATTGAAAGAATTAAGAGTAAGACGGAGAATAGGATAACAGATGAACAAGGAGGCTTTAGGAAAGGTAGGGGGTGTGTGGACCAAGTGTTTACAAGTTTACAAGTGAACAGTATTTAGACAAGGGTAAAGAGGTTTTTGTGGCATTTATGGATTTGGAAAAGGTGTATGACAGGGTGGATAGGGGGGCAATGTGGCAGATGTTGCAGGTGTATGGAATAAGAGATAGGTTACTTAAAGCAGTGAAGAGTTTTTACAAGGATAGTGAGGCTGAAGTTAGAGTGTGTAGTAAAGAGGGAGATTATTTCCCAGTAAAAGTAGGCCTTAGACAAGGATGTGTGATGTCACCGTGGTTGTTTAATATATTTATAGATGGGGTTGTAAGAGAAGTAAATGCAAGGGTCTTGGCAAGAGGCGGGGTTAAAAGATAAAGAATCACACATAAAGTGGGAGTTGTCACAGTTGCTCTTTGCTGATGACACTGTGCTCTTGGGAGATTCTGAAGAGGAGTTGCAGAGGTTGGTGGATGAATTTGGTAGGGTATGTAAAAGAAGAAAGTTAAAAGTGAACACAGGAAAGAGTAAGGTTATGAGGATAACAAAAAAATTAGATGATGAAAGGTTGGATATCAGATTGGAGGGAGAGAGTATGGAGGAGGTGAATGTATTCAGATATTTGGGAGTGGACGCGTCAGCGGATGGGTCTATGAAAGATGAAGTGAATCATAGAATTGATGAGGGGAAAAGGGTTACCGGTGCACTTAGGAGTCTGTGGAGACAAAGAACTTTGTCCTTGGAGGCAAAGAGGGAAATGTATGAGAGTATAGTTTTCCCAACGCTCTTATGTGGGTGTGAATCACGGGTGATGAATGTTGCAGCGAGGAGAAGGCTGGAGGCAGTGGAGATGTCATGTCTGAGGGCAATGTGTGGTGTGAATATAATGCAGAGAATTCGTAGTTTGGAAGTTAGGAGGAGGTGGGGGATTGAAAAAAATGTTGTCTAGAGGGTGAGGAAGGGTGTTGAGGTGGTTCGGACATGTAGAGAGAATGGAGCGAAACAGAATGACTTCAAGAGTGTATCAGTCTGTAGGGGGAAGGAAGCGGGGTAGGGGTTGGGCCCTAGGAAAGGTTGGAGGGAGGGGGTAAAGGAGGTTTTGTGTGCGAGGGGCTTGGATTTCCAGCAGGCATGCGTGAGCGTGTTTGATAGGAGTGTATGGGACAAATGGTTTTTAATACTTGACGTGCTGTTGGAGTATGAGCAAAGTAACTTTTATGAAGGGGTTCCGGGGGAAACCGGCGGGGCGGACTTGAGTCCTGGAGATGGGAAGTACAGTGCCTGCACTGTATTATAATATAATATATATATTTTAATATATATATATAAAAATATATATATATATATATATAATATTATAATATTATATATATATATATATATATATATATATATAAAGTATAAGCTTGAGAATTTGTTGGTTTTATCAGATAAAGAAAATCTCTCGATACATGTTAAAGTTGTCTTTAAATATGATAATACCGTCAAACAAAAATTAATTTAAAATTCTGCCAAGGAATGTCTAGGTTGTGTATACCCCATCCCTTGTAAAAGTTGTGATGCCTGTTACTTAAGACAAACTGGCAAATTTCTTGAGACCAAAATTAAACAAGACAAGAATCCAGCACCATTGTGTAGATTATATTAATGCCAAGAATTACTACCCTCTAATTCTACAGTTCGACAAAGCATATATATATATAATAAGCACACACACATCCATAACCAAACATTCTTAAGTTTATCGTAATAACAGAATATTCCTCATGAACCTAAATCAGGTCAGCCCAACTTTAGTTAACATTATTTAACAAATATATTAATTCGTGATGCTGAGACTGATTCTCAGGGAATTATTGTAAATTAATTTACACATGACGAGTTTGGCAAGTCGACCGTTGCTTTGTATGTTACATCAACAAACTTTGGCTTAAAACCTAAATTAGATACGTACAAATTAGCTACCAGTAAAGCTAATATAAGACTTGCGAGCTGACTCAGGAAAACACCGCTGAATCTGGCATATTGGTAGTTTTGCAAATATAAAAAAATAAGCAAATGATTAGCACAAGTAACAAATGGGGTATTTTTAAAATATCTAAAATTTAAATTACAAGGCAGGAATAATTTACAGTTAACAATAAAACTGGACATAGAAACTTTACTTAAGTTAATTTTCTTTCTCTAAATGTGGAAATCGTAGAGGACAGACCGAAAAGTCGCCAGATTTTATTTCCAATTTGTGGGCTAGTTGTGAATAAGAATTTCGCTTTCTTACCTCTTAAGTTACAGCTTGTTGGGATGAGTTATATAAGGGAATATGTGTGAGGTGTTTGAGTGTGTGTGAGGTTTGTAAGTGCGTGTGTGAGAGTATATGTGGGTGTGAGTGGAAGTGTAGAGTGCGTGGAGGGTGATAGCACACACACAGCCTGTGAGAGCCTCACTGCCAAGGCCGTAGCGTCCTGCAGCCGGGTAGCTGTGCCAGCCACACCTCAGTAACACACTCTCCCTCGTCTATTTTCACACACAAACTTTCAGTCTCTATCGTTTAGAGAATCACTTGGTTATGTCATGCTCTTAGCCAGAGCTTACACACTTGACTAATAATCTAGCGGTACACTAGACCAGTCGAGATCTTGCTATAACAAAATATTAACATGGAAAACTTAAATGGTATAGTATTACGTTCTAATCTTGAAATGGGACTGTAGAAGCTATATAAAACAATGGGTACTTCCTTTACTTTCATGTCTTTCAAGGTCATAATTTACTGTTCCTCCTCTGAACAGTAATAAAAAACGGGGACAGGAAATGCGTCAGCGTCTGACGAGTTAAAGAAAAAATGGGGAACGCTTTTGGGATAGTGAAATACGGCGACGTAATACCATAGAATTTACTACAAATCATCGAAGATTAGCAACTCCAGCTACCTGATGAAAACTTAGATAAGCTGCTATGTCTATAAATACAAAAACACTGTATTCATAACAAATCCCTTGGTTTATATCTGATTAGATCATTACAGAAATTGCGCGAATTAGAGTTAAGAGACAGGCTGGAATAATGTTGTAGCTACACTGGTTGACGCAAGAATGTAGAAAATGTAGGATATAAGGAGGTAGTTACTTAAATATCTTGGGACAGAACTACCTGTGGTGATGCAAGTCAGTCTACAGTGTAAAAACAAAGGCTTTATGTTGCACAATAAGGGTTTCGCTCTGTAAAGTTTTATCAAGTCAGATGACTTAATAAAGCATTACATTGAACTTTATGAAGTCAAATGACCTAATAAAGCTGTACATAGAGCGATATCATGTCCCAGTGAAAGCTTGTTCAGCCTTTCATTGTAGTTGAGGTCACCGACACTGCCCTCAGAGCACCCAGAGGTGAAACATTTGGTCTAGCACGTGAACTTGCGACAACCCAGGTCGTAAAAGTTGTCCTTGATTCTTTTATCTTGCTCAGTTTATTCCGGGAGACGGTTTTTCAGAATACCAATGACAGTAGCCAAGAGCAGTGTCCCGCAGGTGGTGATGGTGGTATTACTGGTGGTGTTAAAGATGTTCCTGGTGTTACTGTTGCTAGTGCCTGTTATGGTTTTTTTCACATGTAGTTATCAAGAGAGTTAAGGAAAAGAAACGGGTAGGATTTCAGAGGAACAAGATAGATCTTTAGAAAAGTCCAATACTTTACATAACAAGCTTTTATTAAGATAATGTTTTTCTATGTGTACAATTTTATCACTTAATATGGTTCCACACAGCTTAACTGTTCCAATAAAATCTTTCTCAGTAAGCTGTATCTCTTTATGACTATTCTCTAGTGACACTTAGATGGAAGGTGTCTTTAGGAAGGGTCAAGGATATGTGGGCCAGGCGTATGTATATTGTATATAAGAAAGCATTAATTGGGTAATTGCAAGGAACTGTTGTATATATGAATTTGGATGAAGGTAAGGTAGGGTGGATAATGAAATGATGTGGCACGTTTTGAATATGTATAAAACAGGTGGTTAAGTGTTAAAAACAAGGGGACGTGAGACTCACGCTAGAGTGTGTAGGAGAGAATAGGATTATTTTCCAGACATGGATGTATAATGTCCCCGTGGCTGTTTAATTAGTTAAAAATTGTTTTTTTTTGAAGGAATTAATTGCTAGAGTCGTGACGGAAAGGTGGAATTGAAAGATTATGAATCAGCTGCAAAATGGGAGTTGCCATAGTTGCTGTTTGCTGATGAATTAGTGCTTTTGGGAGATTCTGAGAAATTTTTAAGGTTGGTGAAGAAGTTCAGAAGAGTGAAAAGGAAGAAAATTGAAAGTTAACACAGAAAGTGACTGTATTTTGATACTCGGGATACATAAGTTGGCAGATGAACCTATGAAAATATGGACTGAGAATGTATGTGAGAATATGAATAGGTCGGGTATTCAGATGTCCGTGGCAAGAAAAAAATTATCGATAAATGGAAAAAAGAGGAATGAATCATAGAATGGTAGTGCATGGAATTATGCAGGGAATAAGAAACAGGAAATTAGAAGACTGGGAGGTGATATGAATATATTATTTAGTAATATGCAAAAACAGTATTATAAGATGTTCAACATTCTTTGATAATATATGAAGAAATCACTGAATTGAATACATGTGAACGAAATTTCTGAAAAATAAAATGCCGAACAAAAATATTTGGAAAAATCTTTTAAAATTAAAGGAACATTTTTGGGACTGATCATGTGGAGAAGGAAATAAACGATTGAGAGGAACCTATAGTGGAAACTTTTGAAGAAAAAATCTAAAACATGAAGAAGTGTGGAGAAAGTGTTGTGGTTGCAACTTGAACAAGTGATCCAGGGTTGACAAGTTAATCAATATCTGCAAATACTTCACGCGATTCGGCGTATTTTTACCCAACTGATATGACGAGAAGTGTGTGTGTGTGTGTGTGTGTGTGTGTGTGTGTGTGTGGAGGTGATGATAGAGGTGTGTGGTGGTGATGATAGAGGTGTTTGGAGGTGATGATAGAGGTGTGTGGTGGTGATGATTAGAGGTGTTTGGAGGTGATGATAAAGGTGTGTGGAGGTGATGATAGAGGTGTGTGGTGGTGATGATAGAGGTGTGTGGTGGTGATGATAGAGGTGTGTGGTGGTGATGATAGAGGTGTTTGGAGGTGATGATAGAGGTGTTTGGAGGTGATGATAGAGGTGTGTGGAGGTGATGATAGAGGTGTGTGGTGGTGATGATAGAGGTGTGTGGTGGTGATGATAGAGGTGTGTGGTGGTGATGATAGAGGTGTGTTGGTGTGATGATAGGGTGTGTGGTGGTGATGATAGAGGTGTGTGGTGGTGATGATAGAGGTGTGTGGTGGTGATGATAGAGGTGTGTGGTGGTGATGATAGAGGTGTGTGGTGGTGATGATAGAGGTGTGTGGTGTGGTGATGATAGAGGGGTTTGAGGTGATGATAGAGGTGTGTGGATGTGATGATAGAGGTGTGTGTGGTGGGTGATAGAGGTGTGTGGTAGTGATGATAGAGGTGTTTGGATGTGATGATAGAGGTGTGTGGAGGTGATGATAGAGGTGTGTGGAGGTGATGATTAGAGGTGTGTGGAGGTGATGATAGAGGTGTGTGGTGGTGATGATAGAGGTGTGTGGAGGTGATGATAGAGGTGTGTGGTGGTGTGATGATAGAGGTGTGTGGTGGTGATGATAGAGGTGTGTGGTGGTGATGATAGAGGTGTGTGGTGGTGATGATAGAGGTGTTTGGTGGTGATGATAGATGATGTTTGGATGTGATGATAGAGGTGTGTGGAGGTGATGATAGAGGTGTGTGGAGGTGATGATAGAGGTGTGTGGTGGTGATGATAGGGTGTGTGGTGGTGATGATAGAGGTGTGTGGTGGGTGATGATAGAGATGTTTGGAGGTTATGATAGAGGTGTGTGGTGGTGATGATAGAGGTGTATGGTGGAATGATAGAGGTGTGTGGTGGTGATGATAGAGGTGTGTGGTGGTGATGATAGGTGTGTGGTGGTGATGATAGAGATGTTTGGAGGTTATGATAGAGTGTGTGTGGTGGTGATTGATAGAGGTGTATGGTGGTAATGATAGAGGTGTGTGGTGGTGATGATAGAGGTGTGTGGTGGTGATGATAGAGGTGTGTGGTGGTGATGATAGAGATGTTTGGAGGTTATGATAGAGGTGTGTGGTGGTGATGATAGAGATGTGTGGTGGTGATGATGAGGTGTGTGGTGGTGGTGATAGAGGTGTGTGGTGGTGATGATAGAGGTGTGTGGTGGTGATGATAGAGGTGTGTGGTGGTGGTGATAGAGGTGTGTGGTGGTGATGATAGGTGTGTGGTGGTGATGATAGAGGTGTGTGGTGGTGGTGATAGAGGTGTGTGGTGGTGATGATGAGGTGTGTGGTGGTGATGATAGAGGTGTGTGGTGGTGATGATAGAGGTGTGTGGTGGTGATGATAGAGGTGTGTGGTGGTGATGATAGAGGTGTGTGGTGGTGATAGAGATGTTTGGAGGTGATGATAGAGGTGTGTGGTGGTGATGATAGATGGTGTGTGTGGTGATGATAGAGATGTTTGGAGGTGATGATAGAGGTGTGTGGTGGTGAGATAGGATGTTTGGTGGTGATGATAGGGTGTGGTGGTGTGATAGAGGTGTTGGTGGTGATGATAGAGATGTTGGTGTGGTGATGATGAGGTGTGGTGGTGATGATAGAGGTGTGTGGTGGTGATGATAGAGATGTTTGGTGGTGATGATAGAGGTGTGTGGTGGTGATGATAGAGATGTTGGGGTGATGATAGAGGTGTGTGGTGGTGATGATAGAGGTGTGTGGTGGTGATGATAGAGGTGTGTGGTCGGTGTGATAGAGATGTTTGGTGGTGATGATAGAGTGTGTGGTGGTGATGATAGAGGTGTGTGGTGGTGATGATAGAGATGTTTGGTGGTGATGATAGAGGTGTGTGGTGGTGAATGATAGAGATCGTTTGGTGGTGATGATAGAGGTGTGTGGGTGGTGATGATAGAGGTGTGTGGTGGTGATGATAGAGATGTTTGGTGGTGATGATAGAGATGTTTGGTGGTGATGATAGAGGGTTAGTGGTGATGATAGAGGTGTGTGGTGGTGATGATAGAGATGTTTGGTGTGAGATAGAGGTGTGTAGTGGTGAGATAGAGTGTGTGGTGGTGATGATAGAGATGTTTGGTGGTGATGATAGAGATGTTTGGTGGTGATGATAGAGATGTTGTGGTGGTGATGATAGAGGTGTGGGTGGTGATGATAGAGATGTTTGGTGGTGATGATAGAGATGTTTGGAGGTGATGATAGAGGTGTGTGTGGTGATGATAGAGGTGTGGTGGTGATGAGTAGAGATGTTTGGTGGTGATGATAGAGGATGTGTGGTGGTGTGATGAGAGGTGTGTAGGTGGTGATGTTAGAGGTGTGTTGGTGGTGATGATAGAGGTGTTTGGAGGTGATGATAGAGGTGTTGGAGGTGATGATAGAGGTGTGTGGTGGTGATGATAGAGATGTTTGGTGGTGATG